GTCAGAGGGTCTGACGTGGGAAGCACCATTCTACTTCCATTTGTACATTCGTAGTGGCGTTTGAATGCGATGTGGCCTATACAATGACTTGCGGGGGCCAGCCGATGTACAAGTCAGTGTTTTTATCCTCCCAGACAAGTCTGGTACCAATTAACCGACCCCGGAGGGATGGAAGGCTTGGTTGGCCCGGGCGACTCACGACCCAGGATTTGATCCCCGGACCGCTCGCGTGGTAAGCGTGCCACTTGTCCACTACACCACTTCCGCCCATAAATTATACGTAGTTTAAAAAATTATAACAATGATTAGTTCAAGCGATCCTCTAAACAACAGAACTCAACGAATAAAGCGGATCAAAGCAAAGTTTTCAAACCATCGGGCTTTACATTGGCTTTTATTTCCATGCTTGATAGCTCGACAGCTTTTCTGTCTGACGATACCAACACCGCCATATTGAAGCTTACACGAAAGGAGGTCTTAGATGAGAAAATCAGGGTGAATTGTTCCACTATGCAGTGCCTACCTTTCCGCCTGGCAAAACCTAAAAATTTTTTCACAAGAATGCTGGGTTGTGAACAAAACTTTCGCCCCAGGCGGGACTAGAACCCGCACCTCTCGCTTTCCGGGCAAGTGCGCTACCAGTTACGCTACCGGGGCACCATTTCATTCCAACTCAGCTTTTCATGGTATACGTACCATAGCTTTCAGCACTCACACGTATAACGTGTTGAACCATGAAAAGCTGAGTTGGAATGAAATGGTGCCCCGGTAGCGTAACTGGTAGCGCACTTGCCCGGAAAGCGAGAGGTGCGGGTTCTAGTCCCGCCTGGGGCGAAAGTTTTGTTCACAACCCAGCATTCTTGTGAAACATTCGCAACGCGAACTGCGGCGTTAAAACAGCAGTTAACAAACAAAACAAGTCAAAATTCAGTACAATTGGGCACGATCCGCCAGAAGAAATGTGGGCCGAACTTACCTCAACAAAAGATCTCAAACCATCCCTGGTGATTAGGTTAGGAGCGCCGATGAAGAACTTTGTAGCGGTGAAGCCGGGCGAGTATATCGTCGTCTATTGGCAGAAGATCTTTCATACAGGGCATACGAAATTCTTGTCTTGTTACGATAAACTTTAGCACTTCGGGACTAAGGTTGTCTCGAGAACAACCGAATGATATTTGACAGCATACAACTCCTGGTAGGGGCGAAATTGATCTGGAAGCCAGCGAAGCCGTCTGAATGACAAACCTTAATCCTTATTTCTGCGTTCTGCTTGCTAGTGCATCTCAGTTATTCGCTATAGGCATTATCTCATCCAGAAATACCGTTTGTGGATTCCGAAAGTAAACATATCGGAGCACCTGGACAAATATGAAGAGCATTCTGCAATTGGTCAACGCTGTATAAAGGCAAACTGACCAGCCTTTTCATTGCCATTCTTGGTTCATGCAACATTAGCTTTCAAATGATGCCCAGCCAACAGGACATCCTCACACTGATCATATTTTTTATTGCTTCAACTGCTGCAGTGGCTGTTTTTGATCGGAATACTACTCGTCCATATGTTGTGAAGAAGAATTGGGTGGAAAATTTCGTCAGATTCCAATATGTCTTCGAGAAAAGTGGGAAGCGAAGATTAGGCCCGCTTGAGGTATGCTCCATCGTCTTGCTATATATACTTGCCACACGCACTCTTTCAAGCTGCACGCAGTTGTCGCAATCGCGGACTTGGCACCGCAGCATGACATCAAGTTATCAGACGGGCATCAAAAAACATACCTGAAATCGAATTTCTTTCGCAGCCGTGTACTGCAGATTCCGCACAACAGCTGGCGGTGGAGATGGGTCGAAAAAAATCGATATAACTTCATTGCTAATGATGCCTTATGCCTACATATCTTTCACGTTGCTCAGAGATACACTCACGCTTATTTGTGTACAGGGAAAGGCAGTGGGCGTTTATACAGGACGGGGAAGGATATTTTGGAACAGGGAGCATTCAAAATCATGTCAATCTTGCAACACTACCGTTCAGCAAAAAAAAAAATAATATTCATCCAGTTCCCTTTTGCCACGGAAAGAGTTGGTTGCAATCACCCGGAGCTTCCTTGTCTCCTTCAAAACTTCGGGCATCAAGTTGTCACTACTATCAGCTATCAGAATGTCCCCACCCCCGTATTACATGAGCGCAAAAAATAAATTTTCTTTACATGGTGATTTGTAGAGGTAAATTGCAGCAACAGGTGCGTTTTTTCACGTGTAATACTTTGATAAATAAAGAGGTGGAAATTGAATTTTAGACAATTTTAGGTTGTGTGCCAACTAATCGAGACGATGGCGATCTACTGGACGTTGGCAAACGATTTATTGATACCGATTTTGTGTTCGCATGTGAGGAAAACGAAGATGGTGTGATGAGCTACGACGCCGTCGGTTAGTTTGGTAACTGTTAGAGGGCTGACCTCCTCCTAAAGGGTTACGACGCAGCTCCGCTACCATCACTCCTGGAGGAGATACCCATGCGACCCTTTGTCACCACTTTCACCACCACTCCTATCACCATTATTTGACACACTCCCAGTTCCACCACAAAGCTCCGAAATCGCCGTCGGGGAGCGGAGGGAGGAAGAGGGGAGAGAGGTGAGTGAATTCTCCTGAAAGACAATTTCTCGATGTCGATGCCAGCACTTGGAACGATTCGCCGCGTCCGCGGTCACGGCGCGCGCCAACGCGATGCGCTCGAATTGCGGTGGTAATCGCAACTGGCGACGCGTACGCTACCCGATCGCTATTAGTGAGTTGGTCGAATTCGCAAAGTCTGACAGGCGGGCCAAATATCGGTCTTTATCCAGTACACTTTCGTGAAAAAGGTGGAAAGAAATCTCCAAAAATCAACCATGCAAGCTCGACTCTTCCGACCACCAATCAGAATCACAAGTGCAGCCCACTCCCCCAAAAAATCATCACCAGCCTTCCTCCCACACCCGGTTCATCATGGCGTATGAGTAGCCAGTAATGTCCAGTCACAGTGGCTTTATTCTAGTGTTCTCACTCAATAGCACTTCAAATCCTGAAAAGAAATCACTAGGACTTCGCTACGTGGTTATTGTTGATCGAATAAGTCTCATAGGTCAGAGGAAGACAATTTTAGCGTGCGTGGACATGTACGGCAAGGAAATGATGCTGGGTGAATAACTTCGTATAAAACTCGGGTTAAAATTTTTTTTGGTTTCAAAACTTGGTTTAAAAAATTTTTCACTTTTTTCACTCGGCAAAAATTTAAATCTTTTACCCGGGGGGGGGGGCACACTGCCGGAGCACTTGAAAAGAGTCGTTGAACGAGGTCAGTTCAATCTCTCATTCACTACTGAACAAGTGTAACAGAGTGGTGAAGCTTCCAATGTGTAATATTCACAAATAAATCCGCACTATACGGCTAATGTCGCTCAGAAGTACTCAGCACACTGACTTAAAGGCAAATGTTACGAATATTCGGAGGTCGGAATATTCGTAACACCTGCCTTTAAGTCGGTGTGCTGAGTGGAAATATATTTACATAAAGGTAAGACACAGGCCTAAAAAACAGGGGGAAACCCTTAATTTTTTTTTTTCCCCCCTTTCCCCCGCGCACGGGGGCCCGCTAAATCCTCTCGTGTCTCTTCACACCAGCCGATACTATCACGCTAAGCGTTCATATCATCGACGGCCAGCATTGATAAGGCTTGCTGAACGTAGTACGAGAAAGAAGAGTCCCATTGCGGAATGTTAGGCCGCTACGCCGTACGTTAAGCGGGACTTTGGGCCGGTTTCTTCACAGTGCTCTTCTTCATTTGAACTCAATCCAGTGGGCGACTGCTTTGTCGTAACATCTGCCTTCAAAACATATTTTTCGCCTTCAATCGTATAGAAGGAACCACTCGGTCCTCTACCATCATCCCATCGATCTTGACTTTCCACCTTTGGCTTGGCTGGCTAATGCAATCTGGGTAAGTTACCACACGCATCAGAGAAATTGGTTAGAACAGCCTTCCCATTAGGAGCACGCTTGAGTCGCACCCCCTAGGTAGTCTACTAGCCTACTATTCAAGACGTTACAGTGGAACTTATTATTGAAGTACTATCTACCGGCAACAGAAGAAACGGAGCTCACGGTTCTCCTGTAAGACGAGCTAATGGGGAGGCGGGTCAAGAAACATATGATTGCCACAATTTCTAAGTTTTGCAAGGAAGATTGTTTAGGACAAAACGTTCACGAGGGGCTGATTGGTAGAATCCTATCGCAACGATATTGGGAACTCTTAAGTGAAAGAATGTTCTCCACAAAACAATACTCCATTGAACTTTCCCAAATCCACAAGATTCTCTTATTTAGCGGGCTGGCTGTTATTTTCAAACGGAACTAGCTATGGGAAGATCAAAATGGGGATAGCAACACTTCGATAAGTGAGAACAGCAATGAGAAAGAATAAGGTGAGTCTCAAGAAGCATGCGATTTCGCTTTTGATGAATCCAAAAAATAAAAGAGGGTAATCTATGGAAATGAAGGATTCTTGTTAATGGACAGTATATGTAAAGATGAGGGTCAATACTAGCCTAATAATTCGAACATAATAACTATGCGGGAAAAAGAGAAGTTGACTTGGTGGTTGGACTGAGAGACTAATAATCACGAATGCGATCAAAGGTTGGCTATTCCACTTGAAAATGAAGCGAGTAGTGCGAGGACCGTTAATAAGGAGAAGGAGGATAAGGAAGACCAAAGAAACAAGAAGTTTTAGGATCTTTCTTATTCTCACGACCGCGGCGCGACAGACAGCGCTCCAAAAGGAAATGCGTGAGAGAGCACGCCATGCGAGAGGACGCAGACCTCGCGCTAAAAATGGCAGTGGTCGTAGGGTGGGACAACGTGACGCGCTCGCTTTCTTGTCGCGCACATTCGAGGCACCACAGTGCCACGACTTCTGTCCTTTTCGACCCTGCTACCTTATGCTGGTGTCAGAGTCCGCGACCCGTCGCGCGATTCGCGCGATTTGCGCGATTTGCCCCATTTGAACATTTGAAACACCGAATATGACGAGTAGAATCAAGAACACTCGCTATTCGTCACCATCAAGCAAAAATGAGGCGGGATTGGAGAGCACCTCGCCGTGTTGATCGGGGCACTTGTGATTTCTGTGATCCTTTGCGCAACGGATCGCGGACTCTGACATCAGCCTTACTCTGGTGTAATACATAAGGATCCATCCGCGAGCGGCTGCTTTAACTATTGTTTTCAGAAACAGAAGAAGATATCACCGACCGTGAACGCTACACAATTAACGGGTCGCCTTATGGAATGCTTCCGTCCTCATCACAGTTATTATGAAAGTCATGTCATTGGTAGGTTGCCGTTAAAAGAGGAGCATTTTATAAAACCCAGAGAGAAAAATCGCTCAATCAAAACCCAAGGGGAAAAGAAAAAAGAAAACCAAAACAGCTTAGAACTTATTTACATATTACTGAGGCCTGCAATTTATAGCGGGGCAATTAATACGCGTACATCATTAATGAGCAATTAGTTGGCTACCGCAGTCCGGATAAGCAAGCCAGAAAAGCTTCTATTTCACTGATTGGCGCTCTGCCTTTATTGAAACAATTCCCAATTTTAACCGTAAAGCCATTGCCCATTGCAAAGCTGCCTATACCCTATCTTGTCGAAAAATGAGAAGAGCGTCGGGTGCAGATCATACACGACAAGTGACGACGGTCCACAAAATGTACATGTTTTCTCATCCACGAAATGAATTGTTTGTAATAATAGATTGAATAAACAGCGTTGCCTGTTGCAGTTGTATTCTATCAGTTTGTCACTAATTACAACTATCATTTACCAAAAATCAGCTATCACTATGAACCACTACTAACCAGATTTACTTGGAGGCCGTCGTCACTTGTGGTGTATGGTCTGCACCCGACGTTCTTCTCGCTTTTTGAAAGGGAGGTGGTGGAAGTCGTGCTCTAGCGTAAGTGTTTCACAAGCCGCAACGCGACCGCTCGCGCTGGGACTTGTAAAACACTAGCGCAAAACGTCCAATGTCTAGGTTGTGAATCTCGAGATTTGCGACGTACTATCCGAACATTTTCCTTTCTCGCTGGTACCTCTTGAATTCACATTTATAATAGTTTCAGGTTGCGCCATTGGTCGTATTGGTGTTCGTTTTGACGAGTTCGTCGAGTTGGATCTTGGGAAGTACGCGCAATGTGAGCAGGACGACACAGGCAACGTGAAACTTCGACCTGTGCAGCTAGACGGTAAGACTTTTAGATGTCAGGCTTAGGAGAAATCCGTCCCTTTGAAACTAACCGGAACCCACTGCTGAATCACATCTCTTCAGACTTGTCGTGTACGCACAACAACCGCACCTATGCTCATCTCAGCACATGGACAGACAACGAACGTGGCGCTCGAATGACATGCAACTATGGAAATCTCCAGAAAACAGGTATTCTGCTCTTCTTGAACTTAGAAAAAGCAGTACTCTTGCCATGAGCATTTGCGGTGCGGCGCAGCTTTGCTGATAGGTTCATTTGCTTACATTACCCACTGTCGATCTGTTGAGGAATCGTGCACGGGAACATGTTGTTCCTGCATGAATGCGCCATGTGTGATCCCTAGCTGAAAAGTGCAAGTTTTAGCATAGGAAATGCGTTTTCCGAGAAAAACTGGAAATCGTGCTTTGGGGACAGTTCATAGACATCTGGGCGGAGCCATATGGAAGGGGCATGGAAAGAAGTACGTGATGCGGTGACCAAGCGTTAGGTGATGCATCGAAGGAACGAACTGAATTCCACATTCCGATTTAGAGAATGGAGGCAAAACGTTTTAGAGCTGGCAGTGAGAAGGAAGAGGTAAAGGTAGCTCTAGTCGTAGGTGAAGAGGTCAAAAAGATTTCCTACTCTTGACACTCGACAATCATATGAAACCAGTCCCGCATCTCTACTTTCCTAGTCTTTTACTGTTTTAATTTTAAGTATGGATCTCAGTCCAATGTTTCTGGGTGGGATCTATGGTTTCCTCGCACGATTGCGTTGGGGAGTGCAAGCGCGTCAGGACATGGTCAACCGTGGCGTCTGACCGATCCTACAAGGGAGGTCGTTCAGGGTGTGCCAAGCTTTTTCAAAATGGTTTCTTGCATGACATTGGGGCACATATGGGGACCACAGAAGCATGGTTCATTTTTCCTGAACGGCCCTCTGAATACCAGAAAAGGGGTCCCTAGTTCGATTCCTCGTGGTGACAAATTTTTGCATTTCGAGTTGACGTTTCCAAAATTCGCGCAAAAT